TTGTTTTTTCATGTTGTTCATGTGTCTTCCCTKCTAGCACTGCAGATCTGAGGTGTTACGGTTTTTTTTTTGTTTTCTTTTGTTTTTTTAAGAGAGAGAGAGAGAGAATTTTAATATTTATTTTTTAGTTTTCGGCGGACACAACATCTTTGTTTGTATGTGGTACTGAGGATCAAACCCAGGCCGCACGCATGCCAGGCGAGCGTGCTACCGCTTGAGCCACATCCCCAGCCCGGTGTTACGGTTTTTTATCCTGTAGACTTATACTGTCCCTGCAATGTTCCAATACCTCTCCTTTGAGAGGGAGAACGATATTAACAGATCCCAATACAAACAATATACAGCCTTAAACCAAAGAGCTGTATTAAGATGCTTATGGTTTTGTCACAATATACATAAAAGGAGAATTCAATTATTATCTACAATATAAACAGTAGATTTGCAAAAGGGTCTACCTTTTCTGATGGTGGACAAAGAACCAGGTGTGAGGTGTAAGATGGGATGTTGAGGGGGTTGGAGGTGAGAATATAGTTATTAGATCTTAGGAATCATGAAAAGAGGAATCTAAAGAAGTTGGTTAATTGCAGGAGAAAAGAGTATGTGATTTGGGAGAGACATGTAAGTGGGAAGACAATAGAGAGAGTACAGAAAACAAATAAACATAATATTTAAGAAAAATAAAAAGTCTAAAAATAGAAGATAAAAGAATATACAACATAACTGTAAGATACTATTCAGACATCCTGGTCCTCAGTAGCCGAATTCATGAAAAGTACTTAGTTTCACAATGTTGATGGGGATGTGAGGGCAGGAGAAGAGAGAGACAAAAGAGAAAAAAAAATCTCAAAGGAAGATATAAGGATTGTTTTTGTTGGAGATCAGTATCTTTCCTGCTTCCATTCTCTTCCAGTAGGAGGGGTTGTCTGTTGTTTGCTGGTATTTCCACCCTCAGAATGGTGAAGGGTTATTAGGATGGGAGAGTTGGTATTGGGGGTTGGGCTCTTGGAGATGGGGTATAGCACTTGCCAGTTCCTGATGTGAGACTGAACCCCAAGGATCTCCTTTGAGCCCCACTTGTGTGATGTTGACCCTGGTTTTATCTACTTATATCGCCTGTAGACCTCACAATTCCTGTCTCTAATTTAGCCTCTAAACTGTCTTTTACTCATCACCTCCCTTTCTACTTCCTAATCAGGAACCTTTTTCTCTGGAATTTTTGTGGGCTGCACTCTGGGGGTACATATCTTTTGCTGAGAACTGTTTTGTATTAGGCAGTTCCCTGCCAGGCTTTGCGATCTATGAACTGGCTATGTAGCCCCAAGCACTATGCTGGCTTACTGGTTGCCGGGGAGAGGGGGGAGTTGGGGACTTTAGGTACCTTGATTTTCCTTTAAACCATAGCCAGTGTCCCAAAGTGGGAGTTGCCCCAACTAAATACAGTGACAAAGGTGTCCCAAGATGGAGGTGGCTGCTTTCAGTGATGAGGTGTTAAAACTGAGGCTGGGGGACCTGTATGGAGAAAGAGACTGGGATTCCTGCATGGGAACAGCTGTTGGGGGTCCTCTAATTACTAGCAGAGAAACAGTATTCCCACTAGTTGAATCCCAGGTCACAGAGTGACATAGAATGTAGCCTCCCTCTAGCCGTCCACATTGGAATAGTGCATCAGTTTACTTATTTATATTTAAGTGTTTAATAGAATTCACAAGCTCAAATGCAACAGTGATTTACATAGGAAGTTTGTTTGAGTCATGATATTTTCAACTGTTAAAAATTTAAATAGGATAAGATTGATTTATGTCTAAAATAATTTTTTTTAAAGAGAGAGAGAGAGATAATTTTTTAATATTTATTTTTTTTTAGTTTTCGGCTGACACAACATCTTTGTTTTGTATGTGGTGCTGAGGATCGAACCCGGGCCGCACGCATTCTAGGCGAGTGCGCTTCTGCTTGAGCCACATCCCCAGCCCCTAAAATAATTTTTAAATGCTGTGAATTCCAGAGCAACAACCAAGAATTTCACAATGAGGACTGGAAGGAATAAGGTCTTCCATAAAACCAAAATCTTATTAAGAAAATGTAGAGAGTCTAGTTGATTAGTAGGCATTAAACATCAGTGACAAGAAATCAAGAACTAAAGTGCTTGTGTCACATAGGTATTTCAAATTTTATTACTTTTTTTAAAATTAACTACCTCAGCATAGGTGCTTTGAGACATTTTACAAATACAAAAATTACATAAATGCCTCTGTAATGAAGAAGGTTTTGATTTCTTTGAAATTCTAGATGTATGTATTTGAAAAGATAGTGATTTTTTTTCTTTTTTTTTAAAGAGAGAGTGAGAGAGGAGAGAGAGAGAGAGAGAGAGAATTTTTAATATTTATTTTTTAGTTTTCGGCGGACACAACATCTTTGTTTGTATGTGGTGCTGAGGATCGAACCCGGGCCGCACGCATGCCAGGCGAGCGCGYTACCGCTTGAGCCACATCCCCAGCCCCAGATAGTAATATTTTTAATACCATTTTTGAGTAAATGACAAAACATTTGGTACATTGAGTAGGTACTGTGAGATTCTGAGGTGGTGGGGAGAAGATATCTGTGTAGGCCTGAATAGTCAGCTAAACAACCAAATATATTCTAGGGATGATTGTTTTGAGAGTAATAAACCTTACAGACACCTAGAAATAATGGGCTTTAGACTGATATTCTTGGTTGGAAATTGATCTCAGCTACTTATTATGTGACTTGGACAAGTCACTTGGCTTGACTACCATTTCATGAATGCCTGTTTTATCTACGCATTGTTACATTCTTTATCCACATTACCTTTAAGTTATTATTAATCAATTATAATCCTTCCTAAGAGAGTGACATTTAATCAAAGTCATGAATTAAGTAAGGAACAGGAACTAACCAGGGTGATATCCATGTGGATTCATTGCAAGGATTTTTAAATTTTCAACTGATACATAAAAATGATACATATTAAAGAGGTAACTATGTAATGTTTTGACATGTATGCATCATATGATGTTTAAATCAGGTGAAACATGTCCATCATTTCTTCATGATGAAATTCTTCATTTCTTTGTCACTTCTTTATGATGAAAACTTTCAAGATCCTTTCTTCTAGMCTTTTGAAATATAGAGTGCATTATTGTCATTTGTAATTATCCTGATATATGCTAGCAAACCAAAACTTCTTTTTCCTGTGTAACTGTAACATGGTACCTATTAATCAACCTTTCCTCATCTTTCTCTCCTGCTTTCCTCTCAGCTGAAACTCTGGTAACCTCCCTTCTCTCAATTTCTATGAGGTCAACTTTTTAGATTCCACGTATAAATGAGATTCTATAGTACATGTCTTGCTGTCCTAGCTTATTTCACTTAACATGGTGATCTCCAGCTCTATCCATGTTGTCACAAATGATAGGATTACATTCTCTTTATGGCTGAATATTACTCCATTATTTATATATATTTTTTCCACATTCATTAAACAGGTGATGGATGCTTAGGTTATTTCCATTTCTTTATTGTGAATAGTGCTTCAGTAAACACAAGAGTGCAGATGTCTCTTCAGTATACTCTTATTTCCTTGGTATTTATGCCCAGACAAAATCTGCATCATTGCTGTACATCAGTAGCCAGTTATCTGAAGTAGAAATCAAGAATGCAATCTTAATTAAACTARCTGACAAAAAAAATACGCAGGAATAAATTTAAAGAGGTAAAAGGTCTCTACAAAGACAAGTATAAAATGGTGATACAGGTATTACAAGAAATCCCATCATCTGTATTTTAAAAGAATCACACTGGCTGTGATATTGAAAATGAATTTTAAAAGAGAAGGGGAGGAAACAGGAAAAGGAATTAAGATATTGACATAAGAGATAATGGTAACTCAGCAGTGGCTCAGGAAGCTGAGCCAGGAAGATCACAAGTTCAAAGCCAACCTCAGCAACATTGAGGCACTAAGCAACCCATTGAGACCTATCTCTAAATAAAATACAAAAACAAAAAAAGGGCTGGTGATGTGGCTCAGTGGTTGAGTGCCCCTGAGTTCAATCCTTAGTAACAACCTCCACCCCACCTGCACCACCAAAAAAAAGATAATGGTGACTCAGACCAGGGTATTAGTAGTAGCACTGATGAGGAATAATCACATTAAGCATGGTGAAAATTGGGTATGGAATGTGAGGAATGTGAAACAAGAATAAAGCATTTCTTCACTTTCCATCTTTTAATCTTATCAAGAAATTTGAATGGAAATACTTTTGCCCTTATTTATGAGCTAGGGAAATGAACACAAGATCTTAAGAATTTACTTAACTTGCTAAAACCATCTGGCTAGAATACAGATGAGATTTCAAACCCAGATATGTTTTGACTTCAAAATCCATATTTTTTCTACTATATCAATAGTATAAAATATCTAGAACAATGCCTACAGTTTATCATGCACTCAGTGAATTTTACTTTTTGTTATTTTCTTTTCACTAAAATTCCTAAAAAGTATTTCTAAGCAGATAAAAGTAGTTCACAGGCATTGTAAATTTACTAAATATATGGTTATAAGAATAAATTTATTTTCCCAATTGCATACACTTCACAATTTTGGTACCCATTGAAGTTTTTTTTTTTTTAATGAGATAATCATCCATTGACATTTGTAGGCTTTTTCACATAGATTTCTAAACTTAATAACCTTACTAACATTAATATATCTAGTCTGCTTGGAGATTTCATTTTATATGTTTATGCTTAACCCAGGGGAATTAAATATATTTGTCTAATATTTACATGTGTGTGTGTGTGTGTGTGTGTGTGTGTGTGTGTGTGTGTGTGTGTATAAGTTTCATTAGGCAAGACATGTTTTTTAAAGCATTTTAAATGATTAAATCCTTGAAAGAAGTATTATGTACAAAATCAAAGTAATTGCTCTAGATATAAGTATGGAACATTAAGAGATCATCTTTTTTTTTTCTTTTTACTTTTAGGTGTAAAAGGCTTAATCTCCAACTGTTAGCTTACCTTTGGCAAAGGAACCAGGAAGATTTGCTCCGAGAGATGATAGCATCTAACATTCAAGCAGTGATCATCAAAGTAGCAGCTTTGGGTACGTAACTAGACTCTAAAAGAGGACTGTTAACACATAGATAATCTTAGTTCACTAATAAACAGTTACAATGAAAAACTAAGAATGATTTAGAATATAAAAATTTATAGTCACAAGTTAAAAAAATAAACACACATTTTGTTATAAAGAATAGAAAGTTTTAATATAGGATTTTGAACATTTGCCAAAGTGATTAAAAGTGAGCTTCTTTTTTTGAATGTATAATGAATTCTAAAACTGATATTGTATTATGTTTCTTTTTTTTAAGTTGTTATAGGATTTGGAACTCAGATTTGTAGGAAACAGGAAACACAGGGATCCTTGGGATTTTTTGTTTTCAAAAGATTCTAAAAATATGTATTTGGTACAACACATGATATTCCTCTTACATTTTTAGCATTTTGAATAATACTAAAATTAGAATGATATATTTTGTGTTATCAGAAATAAACATGGTAGTGGGTTTTTGTTGGGGATGGTGAGAAAATCATGTTTGAGGGAATGTTATTTGATTATTTAGCATAGACATAGCAGGCAGGTGCTAATCTGATTCAAATGTGGATGTTGTATATGAACATGTTAATTTGTTATTTTGAATTTTTATAAATATGTTGATTTTTGAGAAACTATAGGGTTGATCCCAGTGTATTTGTTTTATGAACTTATTATAKAAAATGCCCTGAAGCCTCAGGATTCCCAAAGCCTACTCATGTAAATGTTTACCTTGATGATCTCTGAAATAAAGAGGTCTCAAGCTGTGGAAGACTTTATAAATAAATTCACATTTCAAACAGCATCAAATAAAGGCAAAGACTACAGACATTAGCATCGCTAACATTTTCCTGGTTAGTATTTGCCTTCCCAAAGTTAACAAGTTTCTCAATACTTGATACATGATTTTTCCTGTTTTTTAATTTTAGAAAAAAAAAATTTGGTTTTGTAGTATCGGGAATTGAACTATTTGCAAATGTTCTACAACTGAGCAATATCTCTAACCCTGTTTTTGAATTTCATACTAATGGATTATACTGTGTATTCTCTATTATGTCTGGCTTCTTTGGCTCAATATTATGTTTATGAGGTTTATTTGTATCATTGAATGATGAAATAAATATTCTTTATCCCTTCTGTTCTTGATTTTTCTTCCACAATGAAAATCTTGATTCTTAAGAACAGATGATATAATATTTTTTTACAAAATCTATTAGTATTTGAAACAAAGAGACAAGAAAACARGTCTGCAATCCATTTTTTTCTAGTAATTAGAGTACACATGTTGGAAAGCAAGAAGGAAGAACTCGTATCATCTCCTCATAAACACATCACTTACAGACTTTGTGGCAAAAACTTAGTAAAAAATTATCATATTTACCACAGGGAAAGACGTTTATCTTTGGACTGCTTGTAGTAGTCTTGTTGCTAAAACAGAGAGAGAAAGAGATGACAGAAAAAGCTTTAAGTCCACTTTATTGTCACTGGAAGACCTTCTTGAAAGATATTTGTTAGCAAAGTAAATAAATTGATCACTAGAAAAATCATACAAGTTTAAGGGTGAGCTTAATCAGTTAAATGATTTTCTGCTAATATTAACTATGAAAGAGAGTAATAACAGGACTCTACTGGTAAGATTTCTGGGATTGGGAGGTAGGAATATGGGGAATATAGGGAAGGATGAAAGAACATAATTTTATGTCTCACAATTTTGCAAAATTTTTGTTTTGCCTGATTTACTGGACCTATATCTGAGTTCAAAGGTGCATGTACCAAATAGTGGAAAATATTATCTTAACACTAAATATAATATCAATACCATTAAATTTGATAGTATATAATTTCTTTTTTTCTCCCCCCACCCCACATCAAACAGGCAGTGTACCAACACTATAACAAGGTTTGAGGGAGGCAATCTAACACAATGGTGTAAAACCCCAAAACCCAATCATCACCTTTATGAACATGCAAAAGCATTGACAGCACATATTCCTAAAGGTTCTTAGGGGTATACATAACTTAATCCCATTTAGGCAAATTAAGACCTCTCTAAACACAAAAACAAGTGTCCTATCAAACCCTGTAATTTCTGCCAAAAAGTGTTACCAAGTCTGCTATTTTTATCAGCCCTATGGGTTCATAATACATCTACAGAACCAGAAAGCCTAATTTTAGAGAAAAGGGTATGTATCAAAATAGATTAATAAATGGGGTTGAGGGGAATTATAAAAGATGGATGGAAAGGTACTTTAATTAAAGTTCTATGGAAGGGCTGTGGCTGTGGCTCTGTGATAGAGCGCTCGCCCAGCATGTGTGAGGCACTGGGTTTAATCCTCAGCACCACATACAAAAATAAATAAACAAAATAAAGGTATTATAAAAAAGAAATTCTTCAAAAAAAAGTTTTAAGGAGAGATATAATCATGTGATCCCCATACCAGAGCCTCCAAGCTTGGAGATACTCTTAGGTATCCCTTACAGATATTAACTAATATTAAGAAAACACTTTGGGTCTGTTTTCTCTAGAGAAGGGAAATAGGTGATGTAGAAGCTCCACCTAAAAAGATTCCACCTGGATAACAAAATGACAGTACTGCTTAATAATTCGACTGTATTAGGTTAGTTCACTGTAGGTAGTTTAGTGCTCATAGTAACCACTCAGTTCTTGTGGTTCATAGACTATATTTACTATTCTGATCATTTTTCTGATAACTACTGTGAATGGATTATCTAAGTGCGGAATACCAAATAGTAGAGTTTTTACACTCTTTGTGAGAATAATCAAAACAATGTCACTAAGACATCTACCTAGTTAGAATAAAAGGTAAATATCTGCTGTCTACCATTGTGTGATCTCCTTCAAATAGGATATATAAATGTGAATGGAATTCAGATTTCATTTAAGAAAATTAGAAGATCACCCTTGAGGGATAGATTTGGATATAGCTTAATGAATAGACATTACTAATAACTCCTCTATGGAGTTGTGCAAAATATGTTTATGGAAAAACCTATGATATCCAAGCAAAGTTATATTCCATATACCAAATGGCAGTCTTTGGAACATATTTTTTAGGGGTATGTGTATAAAAACTATTTTCCTAAATTGCATAAATTTTACTAGCATATTGTGGTAATAACCCATGGAGTGGCTTAACCAATGTCTTCCCTGTTGTCTGGTATTCTGTAGAAATTTTTGGTACTAGTCTTGGTGATTCGAGTACTACATCAGAACAAATCAATATTCCTTTGAAAGCTCATCATGATGAAAAAGACTTACTAATTCAAACAGAGACACTAGAGGGAGCTCTCTTCCAGGAGACTGGCCACATTTGGAGATGACCCTAGAGGGACAAGAAAGCTTTAAATGACTACACTAATAGAATATTTACTTAAATGGGACATCATATCAGTCAACAGTTCAAGAAGAGGGATATTATCCTTACCCAGAGAAGACTATTGAATATTCTAATCACTGGTGAAATTATTAAATAATGATGGCTGGGAGTCTGGCCCGAACCAAACAAGGATACCCACTTACGGAAATACTATAGTTAGCCTAAATTATGATTGGACATTACTGGACAGTGTGRCCTTAATAGTTGTTCACGAATGGTTCAGGTATTATTATTAAAAGGATAATTTGTCCTCGCGAAACACTGATCAAAATTGGACAAGACCAAAGGAAGAGCACTTATTGTCTTGAAGGGAGCTTGTTGGCACAATGGCATCTAGACACCAATAACTGTTAAAACCTATACTGTGATATTTGGTATATAGTTATGTCCTCAAACAAGATGAGATCTAGAATTTATTGATAATGATAATCTCTGGGCACTATGCATGACACTGTGAATGTGAAGTTCGAAATGGAGAATGATGCTGTAATTCTAATTGAATGTATGGGCTAATATTAGCAAGAATATAGGCAATGTGGTAGAGAAGGTCCTGTAGAGCTCTTCTGATTGTCCTGAATCTCTGCCTGTTTTGCTGTGTTGTTTGATTACTTCTATTCTTGGGATTCTCATTAGTGCTGATACTATATAAATTTTCTGATTTTCTCTGAGTTATTATTTGACAATCTAATATTTTGGCTTAACTCAATTTCTTCTTCATTTTGTATTGCATTACATATGTGGGTTTGGGGGAAAAATATTTTAATGTTTTTGAATTTAGCACTTTCTGAGTAAATTTTACAGAAACTTTGGATCCAGACTAAAACTGCAACCTTTAGAAATTAATAGATGACTGAATAGATATTGGGAACACCAAAGAGTTTACCTCTAGCAACATGTGTTTACATTTCAAGTCAGGGATGAAATCAGAATCTTGGAGACATCTCCAGGGTTGTAAACCTGGATTCACTGTTTTTTTGCCCACCCATCCCCACGAAATATTTGTTTACATTCCAAAATGTGAAGGCACAGTCCTTCTCCTTACTTTTAAAGAAAATTATCTCCAAAGGGAACAGGAACTCCTTACAAAGTGTAAAATAAATTATTTACAAGACTTTATCTCATCCTCATTACTTCAGTCCTGGGGTAATGACAAGGAAACAAAAAAGTCAGGATATTATTACTTACTATTTGTAAGAGATAGAAATAATAATTTTCCTCTTTCTTACCATAGCTATCCTAGTAATGGAAACTTGTACTCATCATGGTTTTATTTTGGAATTTGCTAATGACTAATGATGTTGATGATGTTGAGCATCTCCTCATGTACTTATTGCCATTTGTATGTCATCTTTGCAGTAGTGACAATTCCAGTCTTTCACCATTGTGTAAAATTGAATTGTTTTTTCACTCCTGTATACAGTTGAGATATTCTTTTTTATATATATTCTTGAAATGAATCTATTATCAGATGTGTGATTTGTAAATATTTTCTTCCATTCTGATATTCTCTTCAGCTTCTGTGTGTACCTTGAAGTTCAAAAGTTCTTAATTTTAAGAGTTTAATTTGTTGATTCATCATCAGTGTCGAATAAAATGATAGTTATAGGTATA